CCATTGGAAGGTTTTAAGCTGGTGCAAGTGTGTCAGATTTGCATTGTAGAGAGGGGCTCCACTGGAAGTGTGGGATGGGTGTGGAGACCAGAACTGATGCATATACTTTCCATAACAATCGAGTGGAGGACGGGGCTGAGATTGAGGCCCTGTTTTTGTGTCATGGAGAATGGCTTGGAGGGAACATAGGCTAGGGCAATAATCCAGAGAGCAGCTGTGAGAAGCAATGGCCGCGGGCTGGAAAGGAGGTGACAGAAACTGAAGCTTTTAAAAAGACAATTTAAAGAACCTAGAAAGGAGGTTGAGGGAGAGGAGTAGCCCAGATGACCTCTGGGTTTCTGCCTCAGGTTAGAGGTGTCAGTCCCAGAGGTGAGAATACAGGTGGAGGAGAGGCTGGTTGGTGGAAGAAGGCTTCCGCTTTGGGTGTGCTGTGTTCGAAGTGTCTGTTGCCTATTGAATTAACTCAAGTCTTTCCTCGGCTTTGAACATTTCTCATATTTAAGTTACAATGTACTTTCTAGCCTTATTTCTCACCCAGTTTCCTGTTTTTATCCTGCAGTCTGCCAAACTCGACATCTACTACTCTCAGACAAAAGTAATTTCCATCTCTGCCCTTTTGCACATGGTTTCCTTTACCTGGCTTGCTTTCCTCTCCATCTCTCCTGGCAGAAAACCATCTGTCCTTGAAGACTCTTCTCTGCAGCCCTGCTTAATCCTTACGAATGTTTGCAATCTCTGGAGCACTTCCTTTATACTTTTAAGTGTAAGCAGTTATCCTTCTCCCTGTTACATTGCCCCTAGTTGTGTAGCTCTCCTGTCCCCATACTGGAGCTTACTCATCTTTATTTTCTAAATGTCTAGGGTATTGTTTCGAACATAGTATGTGCTCAATAAATATTTATTGGCCTGAGATGAACTAAAAGAATATTGTAGTTGGTTTTGGGGGAGTGTTGAATGTTAATTGAGGGATATGCATGTGCTGGGTTTCCAACTCGTCAACCTACCCCAGTACTTTTGTTAACACACTAAAGTTTGTTTTTGGTAGGAAATAAGGAACAGTTGAAATTATCAGTGACTTAAAGAAAGGACCCCCTCTCCCCAAGACTAGATGATGCCTTTTACTTTAAAAGATCACTGATTTTACTTATCTATAAACAATTTTATTTTTCTATCCTTTTAATTTCTTTCAGAACTCTGAAATTTTCAGCTAATTAACATGGCCTAAATGTCTTGTATTTTATTTCACACATTAAAATCAACTCAAGGAAGCAAAAGTGGCCCCAAAGGCCCCTGAGCTGTTGGAGGAAGGTTAAAATTCAGTGTTTTAGCTCGTAAACAAGAAAAGAGATGGCTGTTAACATGGTCTTTTTATACTACAATGATAGTAGAATTAAAGAGAAATTAGAGTTAGACTGGGAAAGAACACGGTTGTAGAATATAAATGTGTTACCCAAATTGGCATAGGAAAAGACTTTCTACAAAGCGAGGGGCTGAGGTACTGAAGTGATTGTTGCACTGATGCAAAAATGAAAGTAAATCACAACCTCACATCCTGTTCTGCAATGCTCCTGTTGTGCACCAGCATTGCTCTGTATAATGACAGTCGAAGGCTTGGTTCATTAAGCATATCAGTTTAATTTTCAGTGTCTTTGGAGAATCTAGAGAAGCATACCTGAATTAGGAAAGATTAGAAAAATCCTTTTTTGGTCCTCTAAATTTTAATGTATAAATATTACACACCATTATAAATACACCTTATTTTATGGGATTTTAAACATGAACAATAATAAAGTAGGGGATTTCTTTTTCCATATTACTTGAAGAATCTAATTTAGGACCATTTCAATGGGGAGCTCATTCCTATATCTATGATGAAGTTGTGTCTGTATCCTAGCACAGATTTACAGACTAAAGGAAAGTGAGCGAACGCAAGTTTGTTTTTTTTTTTCTCTTTTTTGGAAAGATTAGCACTGAGCTAACATCTGCCCCCTAGGTCCGCACCTGGGATCCAAACTGGCAAACCCTGGGCCACTGGAGCGGAACGTGCGGATTTAACCACGGCACCACTGGGCTGGCCCCAAACCCAAATTTTTTAAGGCTCTAGAGTTGAAGATTTTTCATGAAAGGTACCCCCCTAAGGTCTGAGAGACAGGGAACGGGGAGGATTGTGCATCAGTGACAAAAAGAAAGGTTAGCAAGGCATGGGCTTGGACCGTACATTAGAATCATCTTTGTTGTAAACTCCAACCAAAGTTTTTCTGTTCCTTATAAAAATATAACTGCTTTTTTATTTAAAAAGAAAATGAAGAAACAGGAATTGTTTTACGGGATAATTTGAAAGCTAATTTTTATTGGTTGCCCATATCCCTTCAAGAGACAGGAGACTTTCAAATAACATATGCACTCCCAACCCTTGGTGACAATCATCTGCTATAGAGAATCGCAGTCACCGGTGGGAGTCGTTTAGATTCTGTAGGTGAATTGGAGTGAAAAAAAAGGGTTTAGCTTTCTTCCCCGCCGCCCCCCCACAGGATTACTGAGCCATATTTACTTTCTGAAATAAAATGAATCATTGAAAGTGTCACTTAACTTAGTTTAATCAACATTAGATAACTATGTTGGGGTATTTTAAAAGAAGACATAGGTACAAATGATTTATGAAAGTGAATAACTTGCAAGCTGCAATTGCATTTTTTTGATGAAAGCATAATGTTCTTATACAATGTTCTTTTCATATTTCTTACTTCTCTGGCATTTATTATAAGGAACAAAGCATTTCTGGAATGCTCATTTTAATTTCAAAGTTCAGGCTATTCTATGGGAAACATTTGGCGCGTGGAGGATCTGAACAACAGTAGAGGACTGTTCAGTGGGAAGCGTCATGAATTGTGGCACTTAAGATACATTCTGAAGGAACGTTTTAGACAGTGACGCTTATTCTTCGTTTTAAACCAAGGTTTGAAACTAGGTGCTATAATTTTTCTTAATGGGGACAAATACCTTTTAACTCTTGATATAAATTAAACTGACAATAGTGAGATGTTTGCCTTTTGGAGTATGTGAAAACCCATGTAATAAATCAAGCCTATTATTGACTACATAATACATGTTAAAGACATGCGGTCCTAATTTGGCTGGTTGTAAAGCATATAGAACGTGCTTTGTCAACTGACTTCATCACATTTAGCACAAGGGACGCCGAGAGCAAGATAAGGGTGAACCCAGAGAGAACACCTCTGACAAGGATCCCTTAACAGATTTTCTGTATCCATGTGGGGAATGGACTAGAAAATATACATTAAATGCAACCACTGTTTATGTCTCATAATGCATTTTATAAAACATTTTACATATTTAACCTTCACACAATCTTAGAGGATAATATGATTGTTCTCATTTTCCAAGACAGAAAACAAAGGCTTGCTGCAAGGCACTCCACTCTGGGCTGTGAACATGAGAATAAAGCAAATTAGAATAACGCAAAGGGTCTGTTGGATGGGGGAAGGGACTAGAAGGGCAGACAGAAATTATTTTCATCCACATTATTTCCCCCGCAGCTTGTAAGTTCTTTCTCAGTTCCTGGCTAAAAAACTGAGTCTGGACAACCAAATAAACAAATATTTAATGCTCCATAAACGATAAATAAGCAAAATCTCTAGGGGCTGCAGAGCAGGAAGGGTTATAAATAGTCTGTTGTCAAAGATGCGGTGCAGGATGGTCATAAGCCTCGGCTATTTGATGACATGCAGGAGTCTAGCTTTCAGTTCCACGTCTTCTACTTTAAATATTGCATACAAGTTTTTTATTTTCTTCCTCTACAGTGGGGATCTTCCAGCTTGGCTTATGAAATGTTAACGAAATTTTGTTATTGGCATCCAAGATTGAACTAAGACATAGATATTTTTCATAATGTAATTTAGGATGAGGTTTTGTTTCCAAATACAGATGCTTAATCTCTATCTCCAAATAATGCTCTTATCATGAGTTTATTCTTATTTTAAACAAATTTACAAAGGTAGTACATGCTCATTATTATTACATTCAGATAATTCAAAACACAGACACTGAACAGCCCCTCTTCAACTACCCCATTAATTAAGCCATTTTTATAATCAGTATTTATTGAACACCAACTTTGCACGTTTTTCTGGGTGCTGGAGAAAAAAACCACATTTCCTGCTTTCATGGAATTTACATTCTAGTGTTGGAAGCATGAGATAAACATATAAACAAATAAAGAATGTCAGGCTCTATAAGTGTTTTGAGGAAATATAAAGTGGAGTGAAGGGACAGAGTGGGAGAGGGTGAGGGTGGGGACGGGGCTGGTCAGGAGGGGCCTCTTGATAGGGACTTTGAGTGGGACCTGTTTGTTAGAGAGGCCGGCTGAGTTAGGGGAGAGTGTGGGAGTCAGGTAAGTGAGCTCACAAAGGGCCAGAATGGAGCGCCTAGGAAGGATTCGGATTTTGTCGCCCTGAGGTGGCCACTGTTTTATATGCTTCAGAGTGGTTCTGCTCCTTCCCCCACCAATATTAATAATCTTTATTCTCAGTCTAAATAGACTAATACTTATAGATTTAATTATAATTATTTTTGCCTCTTTTTTAATAGGTTGCTGGCTACAAAGTGATATAAATAATTATTTGAGATATATGTGTTTAAAATGTGTATTGCATTGTTCCGATAGTAAAACTTGACGAGGTTTAATCTCTATGGCCTTCCTTCCCTCCCTCTCTCCTTTCTCTCTTCCTTTCCTCCTTCCCTCCATCCCTCCTTCCCTCCTTCCTTCCCTCCCTCCTTCCTTCCCATCTTCAGTTGGGAACTCTGTGGTGGCTAATAGTGGTGCTCTTGGGGCCTTGACTTGACTTTTGGACGTGTGCCAATAGTACTGGGAATGAATCATGTTACTATGAAATACTTCCTTTTGTGCCGGCCTATGATATCCCAGGACTGTGTCTCCTCACAATTTGTCTGATGAGTGACTTGTATTTCTTCAATTTCAGGTTACTACACTTGTAAATTGTCCCCAGAATCCTTCCAACAGGAAAAAAGGACGTTCAAAACGAGCCAGAGTTCTTCTAGCTTCTGTGGAGGAAGCAACTTGGAATTTATTAGACAAGGGAGAGAAGATCGCCCAGGAAGCCACAGTTTTAAAGGAAGAGCTTACTGCTGCACTTGAGGGAGTTCGCAAAGAAAGTGAGTACTCTAGTCCCGGTCAGGAGCAAACCACACATCCTTAGGGTGTTAGTTACTGAATTAGATTTGTGAGTGTTTTGTTTTTGTTGACTTGAGTTTATCAATCTTTTGTAGACCTCTGAGGAGCCAGCCGTGGGAGGCAGAGAGGCTCATTAGGCAGCTCCAAGGCTCAGAGTCCCACTCCTGGTTCTTCCCGTTAGCTGTTCAATCCCTCCAGGAAAGTGCTTCCTCTCGCCGCGCCATAACTTAGCCATAATAAACACAGACAAGTGTATCTTTTTTTGTCATAGAATATAATGAGAAATGACTAATGAAGCTGAAGACATCTTTTCCCATATACGAATAAATTATAAAATTCTTTGTAAATCAGTTGGAGATAGAAGTTTTAGACCTGACCACCTCAGAAGGACATTTATTATTTTTTGACTTTCTGGAGGTTTAGGTTTCCTAAACTTAAAAAAAAAAAATGCTTTGCATAAACTATGCAGAACTCATGTTGCTGCTATGTTAATATTGCATAATAAAAGTGTATCTTTCATCTTTAGACAGCTTTCCTTATAATAATACAATGGTTTTCTAATAAATGTAAGTCTCGTTTGCAGGCTATTTTTAGAAGAACTACTCAATATTCTTTTGTCAATGGAATGATTTTGTATATCAGCTTGTTGCAAGAAAGGATAAGAAAAGGATAAGAAAACTTAAATTTTCCTGTTCAGCTTTGTAAAAGAGACTTGCGGTGTTCAAATATTTCTCTCTCTCCATCCCCAACATAACTAAGAAAATCAGGAAATCTTTGCTAATTAAATAATTAAAATGAATATACTAGCCACGATAAACTTTAGGTCAAATACAGGAGAGTTACTTTTTAAATTTTTTATGTATTTTATAGGGGTTCTTCAGACAATATATGGAAATCATAATGCCCAAGATAATTTGGAATGAATTTGTCATTCCTCCCTGCTCCCTAGTGTCTCAGGCCCACTCTTTGTCTGTCTTCTTTGCCCTGGTACCATCACCCACTTACTCACCAAGTCAGCTTAGACTCTTGGTTCTCATTCTACCCTCTCTTCCAATTAATCTCTAAGTTCAACACGTCCTATCTCCTTTTGTCTCTCAGATCCTTCCCTCTTCTTCGTGACTAATCTTGTCTCTTGAGTTCAGGATTACTACATTAGACTTGTCCCATACCAAAGCCAAATTATCTTTGAAAAATGAAAATATACTCATCTTACTTCCCTGCTTAAAATCTGCTTTAGTAGCTTTTGAAGGATTAGAGGGATTATCTTTCTGGATTAAGCTCAAATTTTTAAACCTAGCTCCCATAGCATTTTATGATTTGTCTTCTACCATTCTCTCTTTTTTTTTCCTGATTCTGTCACCCCCTCCAACTTTCCTTCAAAAGAGAACTTGCAGTATCTTGAACGGTCCATGTTGCTGTGTGCCTCTGTGCCTCCATTACCAGCTATTTTCTTCACCTCGATTGCTTTTCCCATTCAGCTAGTTTTAACTCGGGCAGCAAAGCTCAGCCCAGGTCATCTTTTCCAGGAAGCATTTACTGACTCCTCAGTGCTCATTTAGATGCCCCTCTTCTGGGTCCCCACAGACTCTCAGTATCTCTCTTTCATAGGACTTACCACCCCATCCACCAAATACTGATTTACTTACTCAGTAAATCTAGACTCGTAATTCCTTGAAGGTGGCGAGTACCAGGCCTTATTTGCTTAGCAATGCCTGACACCTGATAAATGTTTGTTACATAAGTAAAAAAATTGAAGCGTCATTTTATATTATATCATTTTATAATGCGTTTATGACAAATGATCTCTCATAATTATGGTTTCTTTTTGAGTCTTTAGTAAGAATATGAACCCTATTCTGGTATTGTTTCTCTCAGAAAATGTGATCTACTTGACAATGTGGTTTCCATAAACCATCTGGTAATAAATATGTAAGACATTGGTCATTCTTAGAAGGGAATGATAATTGCAGTAATTGTCATGAAATGGTATTTGCTTTTTTTTTTTTTTTAAACTAAGTCCACATTTTTAGCTCAATAAGAGTAAATGATTTTAAAGAGAAGTTCTCAAAGAGAAGTCTGTTCGGATTCTAGGATTATGCAGTATATTCTTCATTGTAGTCTATTATAATGTGTGAAATACGTATATGTGGCATATGCTATACACAACAAATACATTTGGTTAGAGATCGCCAAGTGCTTTATATTCTGATTCTTTTTGACAAACTGCCAAATTGAATTACTGCCACTTGAGTGTGGGAGAAAAGCAGTGAAATGGCAAATGGTTCTGGCATTTGGGGAATGGCCAATGCTTATCCTATGGATAGCAGAGATAATGACAGTGACAGTGCTGTTCCCAAAAACTTGGAAGGAATTTTACCTCAGTGGTGGAGCTGAAGTATCAGGAGAATATATTCTGTTGCAAGCAACTCTGTATGATACTAGAAACAAATTTTAAATAATTTTCTGCTTTGGTTCTTCTTTTGTTTTTAAGGGCTTTGTCCAGTGGCATAATGTGAAGGATTAATGAAGAATAAATAATAAGTTTGAAGTATTTGGAAAAGTGAAAAAATATTGAAAGTAGAGGATATTTTCATTTATATGTTTATTGTCATTTTCAAGAAGAATTTTGAGACTACTTTAGAAAATTTCTTCTTCTAATAAAGACGTGGTGTAATTTATGTGGCTTTACAACAGGATTCTGTTTTACTGCCTTTAGTTAGAAACTTGAAGTGATAAATAATGTGAGCATTTGGTTACCTAAAGAACTTGCGTGTGGAAATGGGACACGGTAGCACGAGGGGTGGAGGGTGAAAGGAAGGGTGTTATGTGGGTAGAACCGTAGAGATGCAGCCGAGGTGGTCCACAGAGGCATTATCTATGGTCACTCTTGATCTTTTAGCTTACCCCTATATTTACGTCTACACAATGGAAAAGTATTAAATCTAGTATTTTATTTAAATAGTTTTAGAATATTCACATAGCAATTACCTAGGGATTAACTAAGAGCTGTTTATAGAGTCTGGATTACATGTGTTGCCTATAGCATATATACTACCTTTGTATAGCCTCTACTCCCCTACAATCTATAGACATTGCTTCTAAGTCACACAATTGGTTATATTTAAGGTTTTTAAAAATGTTTTATTGAGAATAACTTATATACAGAAAAGTGCGTATGTTATTATGAACAACTCAATACGTTTTCACATAGTGAACACACTGATGTAACCCCCACTCAGATCAAGAAGTAGAACGTCACTGGAACCCTAGAAGCAGCCCTCATGTCTCCTGCCAGTTACTACTCCCTCACTTCAAAGGTAACCATTTTCCTGGCTGTTACATAGGTTAGTTTTTGCCTCTTTTTGAACTTTATGTAAGTGGGATCTTACAGTATGTTATCTCTTTAGTCTGACTTCTTTTGTTTGTGAGATCTCACCATGTAATATTTCATTCATTTCATTAATGATTAGAACATAATTTGTTTATCCATTCTACTGCTGATGGACATTTTAGTTGTCCCAATTTTTGGCCTTAATGAACATTGCTGCTTTGTACATATTTCTGCATTATTTTCAGTGAATGAATGTAGACATTCCTGTTAGATTTATACCTAGGAATGAGATTGCTGGGTCATAGGTATACACTCAGCTTTAATAGACATTACCGAACCAAAGTTTTCCAAAGTGGATTTTCCAATTGACACACTTATCAGTAATGTATAAGAATTCCAGTTGCTCTACACTCTTACCAACTTGGTGTTAGCAAGTGTCAGTATTTTTAATTCAGATGATACAGTGGTATCCCACTGTAGTTTTTTTCCTTCTTCTCCCCAAAGCACCCCAGTACAGAGTTGTATATCCTAGGTGTGAGTACCTCTGGTTGTGTTATGTGGGACGCCGCCTCAGCATGGCCTGATGAGAGGTGCCATGTCTGTGCCCAGGATCTGAACCAGAGAAACCCTGGGCCACTGAAGTGGAGTGTGCAAACCTAGCCACTCGGCCATGGGGCTGGTCCCCCCGTTGTAGTTTTAATTTGTATTTCTCCGATGATTTTTTGTATGTTCTGCATAGAAGTCCTTTGTTAGTTGCAGATATTAAAAATATCTTCTCCTTTTTAATATATTAAACATTTTTGATACTCAGAAGTAGTTTTGATAAATTCTTGTTAATTATTTTATTCCTTTATGGATAGAGATTTTTCTGTTCTGTTAAAAGATATTCTCTTATGTTATCATCTAGAGGCTTTATTGTTTTACCTTTATAATCTATCTAGAAATACATTTTTATGAATGGTGTGAGTTGGGGGTCCTGATTCATTTTTTTAAAAATATGAGAATTCAATCGATCCAGTATCATATGGACACATATGGAGGTTTAATTGTTCCAGTACCATTTATTGAAAAAAAACTACTGTTTCTTTTGAAAGTCAGTTGACCATATCTGTGTGTGTACTTTGGAACTCTCTTCTGTTCCATTGATTCATATGTCTGTCCTCACACCAATAACACATTGTCTTGATTACTGTACCTCAGAGGAAGTACTGAAATAAAAATTATTTTGATTTGGCTATTCTGAGGTCCCTTGCATTTCCAGAGAAATTTTGGAATCAGCTACTTGATTTTTACAAAAAAGCCTCCTTGGCTTTTGTTTGGGATTAAGTTGGCTCTACAGAACAATTTGTGCTGAAGTGACATTTTAATAGCAGTGCGTCTTTGATTCAAAAACATGTAATTCATTTTTTATGATGTTGTAAATAGTACTTTAAAATATTTTAATTTTAAGGCTGTCTTCAAATTCATATGTTTTTCTGCCTTCTTCAGTTTATTTTTAAGCCCATTCAGTGAACTTTTTACTTGTCACTATACATTCTTAGTTTTTGAATTTTCATTTGTTTTTTAAAAAGTTTCCACTTATACGGAAACAGAAATAGTTTTTATTTCTTTAATTTCCTTCCAAATTCTAATTCCCTGCTGAAATTTCCATCTTGCGATTATTTTTCTTGGACAACTCAGTTACAGTTAATTTCTGTATCTGACAAGTCCAATATGTGGCTCTCCCATAGGTGTGTTTCTGTTGTCTGTTTTTCCTTTTGGTTTTTAACATATATATATTTTTTTTAGATTGGCACCTGGGCTAACAACTGTTGCCAATCTTCCATTTTTTTTAAAGATTGGCACCTGGGCTAACAACTGTTGCCACTTTTTTTTTTCCCCCTGCTTTATCTCCCCAAACCCACCCTGTACACAGTTGTATATCTTAGTTGCAGGTCCTTCTAGTTGTGGGATGTGGGACGCCGCCTCAACGTGGCCCGACCAGTGGTGCCATGTCTGCGCCCAGGATCCCAACCCTGGGCCGTCGGAGCGGAGCTCGCGAACTTAACCACTCGGCCACGGAGCCGGCCCCGTTTTTGGTTTTTAAAGCGTTTTATTTTGTTTCCTGGTATCTTAGATAAGTTTTGATTGGATGCTGGGCATTGTATATGAAAAATTATAGAATTAATTTTTAAAGGTTGGTCTATTTCTGGTTAGCTCTTACTCTTGGATGTAATACCTCAGAGCTCCCAAGTGAAAGTCTGGGATGTTTAATAGGACATTTCCTTCTAGGCAGGCTCAGAACTCCAATTTTATCTTCCCCATTTCCTGAAAGAGGGAAGAATTCTTTGCCTAGCTTCTTATTCTCTCAGCTGCCATATTCTTTTGGCTTCTCTCTTGTTCAATCTCTCTACCATCTGGTTTCTCATAATATTATACAAAAAGTCAACTCCAGGTAGTTTTTGGATCTAAATGTCAAAAGCGAAAACTGAAAAAAAATAAGGGTGAATATTTTTAAGGCTTTGGGTGTAGAACAGGATTTATTAAACATGAAATGAAAAGCTATAAAGAAAAGACTGATATATTTTATCAAAATTAAGAACTTTCTCATATCAAAAAAATTCTTAGAGAAAATGAAAAGACACACTTGGGGGAGATATTGGCATACATACCACAAAGAATTAATAAGAAGAACTTGCAAAGAACTCTCACAAATCAACAAGAAAAACGAAAGAAAAATGGGCATGCAAAGAACTTTATATAAGAATAAACACTAATAAAAATATAAAGATGTTCAACCTCACTAATGATCAGGAATGTGCAAATGAGATACCATTTTCTGCAATTCAGTTGGCAAAAATTAGAAAAGCCTGACATGAAAGAAAGACTTTGAAGCCACAGGATCTTTTATACATCGCTTGTTGGAGTGTAAATTGGTACAACTTTGAAAAACAGATTCGGTATGTCACTTTTGTTAAATGCCAAATTTCTATACATGTTTCTGGACTCAAATCAATTATGTTCTGGTGTTGTTGGTATGTAGAAATGCAATTGACTTTTTTAGATTGGTAGTTGTTGAGGTATTATCTCTGAAGTGAAAGCTTTGGATGATAGTTTTAAAAAGAAGGAAATATTTGAGACATGCAAACATAAATGGCCTGTTTCTTTGGGATCCCTTATAATGGTAAGACTATGGTACTTTATTTGGCTTATGTGAGAAACAAATTTTTCGAAAGTGGTGTGATACAATATAGGCATTTGCTGTCCGTACACAAAGTTGCAAAGAACAGAATTGTTGTAACAGAGATATATATACTTCCTATTCATAAACATTTAGGAATATATGCTGTTCTCAGTTCTCTACTTCTAGAGATGCTACTTTTTTCTAATATGTAGAAAGAAATATATATATATAGTGATACACGGTCTATTGTGGTGGCTGGGATAACTCCACTTTGAAGTTTTTAACATCATGAGTTGTCTTTCATAAAAAATTCTAGGGACAAATAGTAAACAAAGATATTATTTGGTTTTGCCCTTTGGAAAAAAAGATTAACTAATGATCTGGGTTTAGCAAAAGTCTTAAAGATTTGTCTGTCAAATTCAACGTTGCAGAGGAAAATGGTTGAGATTTACTTTAAATGTGACTTGATAGTACTATGAGATCCCCACGGAGGCTAGCTTCTCAATTTGCCAGGTTTTAGCTTTTGCCTTCAGCTAGTCAAAAAGCAAAATTTAGATGGAATTATAAAATTTAGATGGAATTATAGATTTGAATTACAACTGGAAAAAAAAAAAAGACTTTCTTTTGTGTTTTCTTCAGTGCCTTGATTAAATAAAAAGAATAGGACAAAAATTAAGTAGAATGTTAATAAGCCTGGTTAAGAGTTTGTTCTAATCTTAAATAAAATATGGAAGGATTGTGGAAAGGAAGTGATAAGTTAGTATTTCCCTGACGTGTCATTATGAGGGAGAGGAGAGGATTACAAAAGAAAGCAAATTTAGATTCTTTTCTTATGTCCTTTCTCTCTTCATTTGCAAACATTTATTAAGTAGCTAATATTTACCTATTTTGGTTAAATATTTGGTATCTGTATTTGATTTTGTTTTGGACCCTGGGAATATAGAAATAAATAATATATGCCCTAGGTACTTATAGTCTACTGGGAAAAATAAACATGTAAGCAGCTGTAATAATGTCTGATAAATGCCATTATAATGGTATGTCAAAAAGGCGGTGGAAGCACATATGAAGGAGCAATAAAATAGTGTTTTTGAACTTACTCCATTCCCCTTTATTTTCCCATTAAGTAGGGAAAGATGAATCTCTTCCATATGAGTACAGATAAGTACATATATAGTTTATAGAAAGATGTGGTTTATGCCTAGCCTGTCTTTTCTGAGAGACTTGCATTTCCTTCTCTTCTATTTTTAAAAATTTACGTATTTATTGAAGCATTTTTATGAGTTAGGCTCTGTTCTCTGTTCTACTCACAGAAGCGAACTAGTCAAACAAGGCTTGCCTTTATGGATTTGAACTGATATTTTAGGGTACACAGGTGGTAAACAAATAAACGGAAACTTGCTTTTAATTCTTCAAGGATATTAGATTCTTTTTCATTGGAATATTTAAAAATAATTTTAATAGTTTTCTCATGCAAATACTAACTGCTTTATCTTAATAATTACACATTTATAGATTCCTAGTAAAATGAAATAAACATGAGTGTGGGTACCTTAAGGTATAAAGGGGCAATTAATTTGAGATTTCAAGAGTGTTCAGAAAAAGACTGAGGTTCAACTTTTTTGTATACTGGCCAGACAAGCCAAGATGCATACACAGGTGGAGCACACCACTGCTCAACTCCCCATATACTTTGGTATGAATTATCTGGAGCTGGAATGTGCAGTCTGATACCAATAGTCTTGGCAGTTATGCCTAACAGAGCCAGCAACTGGAAACGTGTACCATAGGCTTCATGTTCATGTATGTCAAGTGGGAGAAGA